CTGAAGTGTAATAATCCCGGTTTATAGCACACTTTCCATTTAAATTGTTTTTATTAGAGATAAACCTGTTAAGCGTTGAGGAATTAAGTGCTGAATAGAGGTGGTTGTTTCGCTGCTGTATAAATGAAGGATCCCAGTACGTCAAAAAGAGCACGGCTGGTTTTACAAGTGAATTATTTGCCCGTTTGAAGGGCTCTGGTTACTTTGGCATCTGTTGGAAAAAAAAAAAGATGATTTTGTTGTCAAGAGGGATACGGTGGTTTTTTGTTTCAGAGGGGCAAGCGAGATTTTAGCGGTGGGGTTGGCAGGTAGTGTGGGGATTTCTCCACCTCCTCCCGCCTGGTTTGCTCAAGGAGAAGACGAGGCCGAGAGATTTTGGGGAATTTCTTGGCACTGCTGGCGATAGGCGGACTTTTGGGCGTGCGGCGCTTTGGGACGATCTTGAGAGGGAGCAACCCGCTACTCCCGAGTAGGAAAAGTCAGTAATGGTGTGAAAGTCTCCCTCGTTTGGGAGGGGAGAGAAAAATTCAATATACCGCTGAGTCTCAGCATCTCCTTTCAGGCGGGTGGCCTGGGGAAATTTAGCTCAAAGCCCGCAAATTGGAAGTCGCCGCAATCACTCTGTCGAAGGTGACTTTGGCAACCCGTCACAGCGGAGGAAGGTCTTGTTTTATTCACTCGAGAGAAGGGAAATACAAGGGGAAGGGAGAAAGAGCAGATCCGTGGGGAAAATGCCACTCGGGCTGTAACCTGAGCCGTAGCGAACTCTGCCTTTCGGAGGGTTCGGTGACCCTCCGAAAATCCTTGCTCTCCGGCTGCTGTTATTGTAGCCCATTTCCAACTAAAATAAGTCTTTTGTCATCACCAGCCGTGCCGCCTCTCGCGTGAGAAGAACCAAAAGTGGTGCGTGACGGCGAGGGCGGCCAAGCTGAAGGTCAGAGGAGGGGGGATTGCTGCGTCCCCGGGGCTGCATCTCACCCCTGGGACCAGTGATGGACCCACCGGGGAGACTGGTGACCTCTGGAGACAGACCCCCAGGCAAGAAGCCGAAGAGAAAACATCCTAAGAAAATGCAAATTGGAGAAAAGAGGGTTTCCTCCTCCTCTTTAGGGTTATGCAGGTGGAATAGATGGTTTGGGTTGTTTTTTTTTTTCCTTGCTTTCTGGGACATGGCAGACAGCGCAATCTCAGTTATCCAAAAGAGCAAGAAAAAGTTAACTGGCAAAAAAAAATAATAAATACTTGAAACTTCTCTGTTTGCCCAACTGTTCAAATGTTTCTTCCATGCCACATCCTTCTTCCTTGCAAAAACAAAACAAAATGAAAAAGACAGAAAGCAACCCAAAGTAGAGTTCTCAGGTCTGCTTGGGCTGGGAACTGGGTACAACCTGCACACTGGGGGATCTCGTGTTGTTGGTGCCGCTATTGATTCTGCTCTTCGGGGGGGAGGGGGGCGGAAATCCCAAACCAAACCCCTCCTTCCACATCGGAGCACAGGTACCAGTGTGTAGGGCACTGGTATGGGAAAAAATAACTTCATGCAAGTCTTTGAGCCTGGGCGGGTCTTTACTCAGACAAGTGAGGTTATGCCACCGTCTTAATCATTAAGTTAAGTTTTATGCTGAGTCATATTTTGACGATACTCCATTTCGGTAGCACTTGATGTGCAAATATCTTTTTTAGGTCCCGATTCCTCTGAACTTTTAAAAATCAGAGCGATTTAGGGTTTCTTTCTCTTGAGATAGGTCAATGTGAACATCTGAGAAAAGGGGCAGTGAGATTTTTTTTCCGGTTAGCTTTTCTGTTCCATCATTTTTGCTGGTGTTACGTCAGCCTGGCTGCTTGGGAAATTCAAGGAGTGATTGCGGCCCTTCTATCAAAGAAAAAAAAAAAAAACAGAGGCTCTGAAGTAATTATCCCGGTGCCTGTGTATTTCTGCAGCTACAGCTAATTCACAGTTTTGCTTGCGAAGGGTTCTCAGATGTGATTTGTAAAGGTGACAGCACTGCATCGTGGTTTCTCAAGACAAGCCACATTAATAGTTTTAATCTGATGCGTTCTTGCAAATTCCAGGTTTGGGATGCAGGAAGAAACTTGAAAGCGAATACTTTCTTCTTTTTTTTTTTTTTTTTTTAATGCATAGTGGTTTGGACTCTACTATAATGCAAAGTAAAGCGTTCTGTTACAAAGGCAGGGAGGATGGGACAGAAGGTTAAAGGGCATCCTGGAAACAAACAGCTGGACCAGTTTATTTAAACAGATACAAGGATGGGGAGCTGACCTCCGTTTGACTTCGGGTGGGAGGAGCGAGAATGTCATTTTATTACTTTGCCCAGAAGGAAAATGTTCTTGCGTCTGAATTCCCCCCCGAAGACATCCAAACACTGGGCTGTTTGGCAGAATTGCTACTTATAGAAAATACTTCTACGAACGCGTAGGAAGAAGATAACTGTTAAGTACCTGTGTGTAAAACGTTCTTAAAGCAGATATCCTGAGCGATAGCGTGGGGCGGACAGGTGAGAATATGTTTTACCGTAGGCAGGTCCTGTGGATCATTATTGGTAAATTCTACCTCTGTGGTTTATTATGGAGCCTCTCCCCCTTCCTTCTTATTCAAAAGCGCTTGTAGTTTGGAGGAGAAGGAAGAGAAGTTGGAGCGTGAGGCCTTCGTGATGCTCAGGGTTTCTTTAGGGTAAAAAAAAAAAAAAAAAAGGCAAACGAAGGTTTGGGTGACCAGGCTACCAAAAACCCGCTCCCCTCCTGCCGCGGGACCAGGGCAACGGGGCAGGGGAAGGATGGAGCAAAGGCATCAAGAGGCTGCGGAAAGAAATGGCTGAGGTTTTGTGGCGGTGTTTTACTCAGGGTGCTGAGTTACTGTGAAAATTGCTTTCTGCAAATGCAGATTACAGATATTAAACAATTTTCTAATTGGTCATGGAGCGGAGGCAGCTAATGGGGGAAAAAAAGCAGGTTTTTTTTAATTGCTTATTTCGCACGGTGTTTGTGCTACACCTGGGCTTATAATGAGAAAGGAGAATTAGTCTAACCTTCTGCTCACATGATTCTAATTTTCATGGTTTGTACAAGATAATGATAAACTGATTTGCAACACCGTTTGCTGGAGTTGATGCGGGTTTTTGGGTTGTTGGGTTTTTTTATGAGAAGTGTGTAACAAAAAATTGATCCAATACTGTTGCTGGCAAAACATGACCTAGTTCAGGCGAAAGGTTTCCAGATCGGCCCCCAGAATTGGTGCCGTTGAGCCCGTTTTGTCGAGGCAGGTTTAGGGAGGACCCAACGTCTTGATTACATTTTTGTGGGAGTTTGGAGAACGGGAGACAGGAGGAGAGGGAAATCGCAGTGCTGGTCTTTGACGAGGGCGAAACAGCCATCACGGGGTGATGGTTTGCCGTTCTCCTCCTCGCCAGCGTAGGGGAATGGGTGGGCAGAGCTGATTCCCGCAGGAAGGTCTTGGTGGCTTTCTCTCTGCCGTGGGAGAGCTCCTGCTCAGCCACCCCAACAAATGAGGACCAAGCAGCCCTTTGGGGACTTGCCCGTTGGGTTTCCCAAGCACGGGGTGGTTTTACGCAAGCTCACGCTTCTTCTTTTCCTACTAAATAGTGAGGCATACACGGGTTTATTCCTATTTTTCTCTCTCGTAAAGAATGTGAAGGCTGGTTATGAGGCTTTGCCGTGATGAAGTCTCGATGGAGATGTTTTCCAAAGGGTTTTCTGATGAGCGAAGCCACAAGAGAAGTTCTTCTAATGGTTGGACTCGATGATCCCAAGGCTCTCTTCCAACCTAGACAATTCTATGATTCTAACGCTCTTCAGACAGGTTCCCAGCCCCTGGTTTTGGGTCTCCCCATTTCAGCGCCGTGAGGACTGCCCGCAGAGGAGACCGGGGCACCTGTGATCCCTCTCCTTCTTCTCTTCTCCTCCAAATTATTTTGAATATTCCTTCCCCAAATAAGCACTGCAAGACTAACTGAGGCGAAGAGCTGCAAAAACCCGAAGACGTAGGGTTGCAGATGGCTGTTTTTAAAAAGGACCGTACCTTTTTTCTTTCTTTTTTTCTTTTTTTCTTTTTTTTTTTTTTTATTGCCAAAGATCTGCTTTTCATTGTTCGGGGGGGAATTTTCAGTAGTCCAGTAATTACAGTTTAACAAGATGTTTGCTGTAAATGGTCAGGCCTAGCTGGAGAAAACAGGATTATAAATTCAATTACTGTAAAGCTATGACCTCGCCTTGACCCCCTCAGACTTTGCATAAAGAGAGAGGGGAGGGAGGGAGGGAGGGGGGGGGGCGGTGAAAAAGCCCACCAAGAAATGGCTGGGAGGAATGCAGGGCTCTGAAGTCCCCAGCAGTGTGACTTGGCGGTGATAAAACTCCAGACGTTCCCTCATTTGATGGGGTTCTGCCATCACAGTTCATTATCTTAATAGTGGGCATTAAAAGGGAATTAGGTTTGCAAGAGGTAGGGGCAGGTTTTGATAAAAAAAAAAAAAATTGGAGAAAAGAAGGCGGAGGACATAAGGCAGAAATGGCACTAATGAGGGGGAGGTAGCAGATGCCCTCACGAGCATCTCGCCGGCGTCACCCGTTGGGTTTTTGGGTTTGTTTTTTTTTTCCTTCTCCTTGTGCCCCGTTCTGAATTGAG